ACACGGGGGAAAAAACCACGTAATGCTGGTTTATGAAAGACTCGTTTATTGGTGGAGATGTATCACTTTATATTTCGTCTCGACTGCTGACCAAACATGCTGCTTTACACGAGACGTTAGTGTGCGTAACTAGATGCTAGCGTGGCGACACATGCCGCCCTAATCCCATTTGGCTTTCTGGTAACATTGCTAATTTCTGCTAGGCAATAACTCTGCATAATCTTGCCCTCTTTTCCACTGATTACTTGATCTTTAACGATCACCTACCAGTTTCTAGTTGTCATGGTCGTTCGCACGAACAAACTTGCTACAAATATACAATTTCTTGAAAGCCATTAATGTATATTGTTGTATTGAAGAATAAAATTTTAATATGCTAAATTATTTAACCAGTCGTAATTTTGAAAGGATTTATTACAGCACCGTAAATGTATCATGAAAAATAATAAAAACGATAGACTTAAACGTTGAGTTTTCAAGTTTTTTTTTTATTATATGTCGTAAGGTGACAAACGAGCAAGCGGCCACCTGAATCCGCCAAAATAGCGAAGCAACCGGTGCCCATAGACATCCGCAATTGCAGATGCGTTGCCTACTCTTATCCGACGGAGGAGGAGACGCACATAAAGAGCATATATCCCCTTCGTATGCGTCTCCTCCACCGTCAAATTCCCTTCCCCATCCCATCCTCTCCTTATAAGAAAAGGGTGGTAAAGAGAAAGAGACTTAAATTAGGCCTCCGGCACCACACTCATCAGACGAAACACGGAATTGCTTCCATTTCACGCCTGTCTTCTGTGTGGTCGTGGTATTACACCGGGCGTGCCGGCCCATTCGTGCTAAGATGTTAAAGCGGTCACTACCACTGTAAGTAAGTAAGTAAAGGACAAGGAAACATATTTAAAGAGAAGGGTGACGTAAGGACAATAAAGAATAAAATTCTAACTTACCTAAATAAAGATCAGTGTAATTAGTAGACATATAAAAGAAGCATAGGTATCTATTTGGTTCTCGATGCCATTAGCGTTCCCTTGAGCCTGGTTATTGCCCTTGATGTTGGCCACAAGGGGTTTGTAGCGAGTAGAAATCTCTCATAACCTTGTCTTTCACCCAAAAGGCAGGGCATCTTTATAAGATTTCACTTTAATATAAGTAAATACATCACATAGGTAAATGTAACTTTATAGGGAAGATTAGACATTTTATGACATATAGCTATGTTTTGGTGTCAGATTGTATTGATGACAAATACAATGCTCTTACGTAAACATGTATTACTAGGTCTTATGACAGTACCATTAGCCATTAACATTATCTGGATTGTTGCGTTTCAATTAACTGAACTTAAAGATAATAATTTCACATAATGTCTTTTCCTAGTACGAGATTAGCGTTGAGTATATAAAATACACAGTCCTTAGTGTCCCTATCTTCACAACTTCAGGAATCATTCACAATGAGAGGTTAGAAATAAATAAATTAAAAGATTTTATATCAATAATGCAAATATTAATATTAATTTTGTTACAGTTCTAGCGGTGATCTTACTTGTAACGGCAGTTGTGGCCGAGGATGGTGCATTATGTCCTAAGGAACAGGATGCCAATTACGAAGTGGATAGATTGGTAGCCCACGAGGATTGTAATAAATTCTACAAATGCGTCCAAGGGGAACCCGTTGAAATGATGTGCCCAGAAGGATTGTTGTTCAACTCTGTGTTCCGCTTCTGCGACTGGACCCTCAATGTCGATTGTGGGGAAAGAAGAATGCCTACTGAACGAGCCATTCCTATTACTGAAGTGACTGAGGCACAGCCAGAAGGAGAGGCGAGCGGAGACAGTGAAGAATCTAATGAAATTGAATTGCTTGAAAATGGATGTCCCGTAGATCCAGTTATTCACTGGCTTGTTCCCGACGACGAAGATTGTACTACCTTCTACTATTGTGTTTGGGGTGCCAAAGTTCAAAGGAGTTGTCCCCATGGTTTACACTTTAACAGAAACTTACAGGTGAGTTAGTTTTACTTCAAACTATATCTTACTAATATTATAAATGTGAATGTTTAGATGGATGGATGTGAGTTAGAGTTTGTAGCCTAAACGGCTAAACGGATCTAGATAAAATTTAGCACAGATGTAGAGTATAGTCTGGAAGAACACATGGGCTACTTACTTTTTTTAAAGTTCTACGCGAACGGAGTCGCGAACGAAAGCTAGTTATTTCTGCTTACAAGAATAGTAATTGACTAAAGTAATAACAAAAATGTGAAAAAAAACCAACAAACATTTTTCTATCTATAAAAACTGGCGTCGACAGAGTTTGATTTTACAAACAATCTTTTCTTACTAATATAATAAATGCAACATTATAGATGGATGGATGGTTGAATGTTTGTTAAAGTTTGTAGCTTAAACGGCTGAATGGATCTAGATAAAATTTAGCACAGATGTAGAGCATAGTCTGGAAGAACACATGGGTTACTTACTTTTTTTAAATTCCACGCAAACAGATTCGCGGGCGAAAGCTATTTAATAAATATAAATAGATTTTTGTTTTAAACAACATAATGTCACAACAAATTTGTCTCAACAATATATTTATATGTCTTATATAAAAGCGGAAGAACCAGTTTTAATCCTTTGTTATATTTCCAGGTCTGCGACTGGGCTCAATTCGCCAACTGCACAGCGACAGGAACTGCCCCTACGACTACAGTCACTACACCAGTCCCAACGACAGTCGCCGCTTAAATTGTCTTAGTAAGCTGAGCATGGTTCACTTCAGTGCTCGATTTGGTTTGTAATTATAAACTGATGTTGGAATTCAAAGAATCAATAAATATTTATTCAGAAACAATTTTTTTTTTATTTACGAGATTTCACCCGCGACTCCGTCAGCGTGGAATTAAAAAAAAACAAAAGTGTGTGGCCAATGTGTTCTTCCAGACTATCTTCTACATCTATGCCAAATTTCATCGAAATCCGTTCAGCCGTTTAGGCTGCAAACTCTAACAAACATCCATCAATCCGTCTAAACTTTCGCATTTTTAATATTAGTAAGATTACCTTATATCTATACTATTATAATAAAGCATAAACACACACTTCTTTGTTACCTAAGATGTCAGCAATTACATCATATTTTTAATAACTCTTTTTTTGATAAAAAGCCCTACACTTGTGTCACGCTTTAGGCTATATATTTTAACACCATTTAACTTAGGGGATAAATATTTTGGATAAAAACCCTAATGTGGGAAAGAGACCATAAGTTGCTGCCAACATCAAGGAACCAAGGTTGCCATGGTTTGACATAATGTCATTACATTTTGACATTTGTAATTTACTGAAATAATCTAACAAATGTGAACAATAAAATGATTTTTTATAATTTTATGCGGATGAAGTCGCATGGGAATAGCTAGTATTTTTTATATTTAAATTAACCTCTTTTATTACACTAATAAAGATATTGTGTGGTTATAACACACTTATAATGACTTCTACTTTAAGGTAAAGAATTTCTTATTTTTGGGAAAACCTATTATTTCATATATCTACAATCAGTTAGATTTTATCCTTTAACACCCCGTATTATCAATATCTATATTGCATTTAGGATCTAGATAGAAGCTCCATAGCAAAATATGTTGCTTGTTTAACAAGATTATGACTTGTATTCAATAGTAATCCAGTCTAGAGAGTGTTTTTTTTATATAATATAAGGTGGCAAACGAGCAAGCGGCCTGAATCCACCGAAATGGAAAGCGACCGCTGACCATAAACATCCGCATTGCAGATGCGTTTCCTACCTTTCATTGATGGAGGAGACGCACATAAAGATGTTATTTGCCCTTCATATGCGTCTCCACCGTTAAATCCACCTTTCCTTTCCATCCTTTCCTCTTACGAAAAGGGTGAAAAGGGAAAGGGACTAAGATTAAGTCTCCGGTACCACACTAATGAGACGAAACGCTGAATTTCTTTCACTTCACGCCTGTTTTCTGTGTGATCGTGGTATTACACTGAGCGAGCCGGCATTTTCGTACGAAGATGTTAAAGCGGGCTCTACCACAGTGTGAGTGTTTCTTTACTTAAATTTATCAACGTTTTTCTCATTTATTTCTTAAATTGTATCTAGTTTAAAAATTAATTTAAGTGAACGTACAACATTGTGAATAGCGAATACGTCTTCATTATAAATAGATTTTTCTGTAGTACAATGTAAACTACACTTAGATGCAAGCAAAAAGTGAATTATATCAAGACAACTATAATCTATGAATGGCTTAGTAATACGAGGCTTCTGTTTAACAGGTCCCACACCTTTGACAAAACTATCTCAACTGTTTAGTCTCGCTTTGATTATTATGAGCTTATATGGAGGTGCCCACACGATTTTTAGTCGTGCAACTAAACAGTTGTGCAGCGAAACAATCGACAATCGCACACAGTTGTGCGGTAGTTTAGTCAAAGGTGGTCGAACGCTTTTAATGATCTGAGATTGAAATCAAAACCTAGAGAATTTCTGTCTGGTATTATATTCTTCTTAAAGTGCCATCTTCTTCCGAAGTTCGGCGATCATTAGGGCGACTTTTGTTCTTGACACCGCGGCTCTGAAAAGTGAATAGGTGCTCTTTCCATACCACCGGCGTAGGTTTTTGAGCCAGGACGTTCTTCTTCGACCTACACTTCGCTTTCCGTGGATATTGCCTTGTCTGGTATTATACATCAGTTCAATTACCTTGTTATCATAATTTTTAATACACACTGTAAATCAAAGTTTCTCAATCAAAAGTTGTATAGTTCTAATCAAGATTATTATTTACCAATTACTGATAATTGATAAAACAAATGATGTTCGCAAAGAGTCCACACAATGTGTTTCAAAATATGAATTAGTATTTACATTGTGCGTAGTTGCTCTGACGTTTTAAAACAATGAAAGGTACTTTATTGTATTCCGTAGACAGTGTGTCCAGTGTATCAAATAAACAACATTTACGAATATATTCCAGGTACAGGTGAATTGGCGTTATTGATTTTATCTATTGCCTCGGCATACGCAGTTTCATGTCCGGGACCAGAATCATGGAATGAAACTGTATTTTTGCTACATGAAGACTGTCATAAGTTCTACAAATGTGTGTTTGGACAGCCAATCGAAATGTCCTGCTCTGCCGGATTGTATTTTAACCTTGAGACGTCACAATGCGATTGGAAAGAAAACGTTGATTGTCCAAACGATGTGTCAGAAGAACAAGGCTCGCAATTCTTAGAGAATGGTTGTCCAAGAGATTCATCTGTGCATTGGCTTTTGCCGCATGAAAATGATTGCAACCTATTCTATACTTGCGTTTCGGGAAGAAAATTGAAACGCAGTTGTCCTGGCTCGCTACATTTTGACTTTGAACAGCAGGTTAGTAAATAAGTAAGCTATCCTATTATTTGCATCATCATCATCATCTCCCTTATCTTATCCTACTCCCGTTGTGTTGACGCACCGGGTTATATCCTCCAAATAACACTATCACCCACTATCTCAGTCATCACTTCCTTTTTGATCATGTCACCTTTCACGCATTCCATCTCTTTCTAGATCTACCTCTAATTGTGTACCTCTACACCCACATGTTCCACAATAACAACATTTAATTAAGACAATATTTTTACATACTTATATAATTTCTATATTATGTTTCATCTGTTCACTTTGCCGCGCGATTCTCGTTCTTTACTTATTTTTTACTTTACGAGTAATTACCATCATTGATTGTTTTCAGTACGATATTTTTGGCGGTATACATACTCCTTGACTACCAAAGAGATCAAATAAACTCCAATAAACACTAATCCTATGTTAATTCTTTTGCAAAAATAAATTTAAATGCAACTCTTATTGTTACACCTGATGAAATAAATCCAGATTTCAATAAAGATTTTACTCAAGTTCCCTTATCAAAATCTACCTGTCTATTATCTGTAGAATATTCCGAGACAGATGGATAGATAAACCGAAAGATAAGTAAACTGTAAACGCTAAACAGATAAGATTTTCAATTATTTAGTTATCAATAGATAAAAATACAATAGGTTTTGCCCCCTAAAACATTTGTATAGATTATTACATGTAGAATATTGCGATTTAGAAAAAAAGTCCCGGACGGCAACTGCGAACTAGGCAATGTGTAGATTCATGATGATTCGTAATTCGTTTGATTAAACCTTTAATTACATCTTTTTCGAAATCTTATTTAAACAGGACTTTTCCTACTTTTGTTTATTTTAAATTGACGCGTATTTTTTAATCTCTGAAACTTTGATTTGAATTAAAAATGGAGTTATTTAGTGACAGCATTTTTAATACTTATTAGATAAGAAGATGTAACTACCATCTTTGGTGGATTACACTTACTTTAATATTTCCGCTTTGCCTAGATCTTATGTTCCTTTTATGTCTGATATTTCAGATATGCGGTTGGCCGAAACCAGAGGGCTGTGACACTTCGAACGAAGATTCTAGTACAGAGATTGATAGTCCTGAAAATAATCCTTCTAAAGAAGACAATTCAATTGAGGATAATACTAAGGAAGATATTTCTAAAGAGGATGATAGCAAAGAAGATGAAAGTAAAGAAGACGTTACTAAAGAAGATTCTAGTTCTGAAAATAATCCTTCTAAAGAAGACAATTCAATTGAAAATAATACTAAAGAGGATATTTCAAAAGAGGATGATAGCAAAGAAGATATATCAAAAGAAGATGATAGTAAAGAGGATTCTAGTTCGGAAGGTAGTTCTGAAAATAATTCTTCCGAAGGAGATATAACAATTGAGGAATTCTCTGAGGAAGATATCTCTAAAGAAAATGACACCAAGGAAAATAATACTAAAGAAGATGACAGTAACGAAAATGATAGCAAAGAAGACATATCTAACGAAAATAACACTAACGAAAATGACTCTAAAGAAAGTATTTCTAACGAAGATACCTCTAATGAAGAAGATTCTTCAAAAGATTCTTCAGAAGAGAAGACAGAAGAAGACACGTCCAATGATGATACAGATCTTCGCAGTGTTAAAAAAATTGAAGCGATCGTTCATGTTAATGTTCTAAAAAGTATGCAAAACGGATTATAAATATAAAATTGCTGAATATATAATTTTGCTTCTCTGGTATTATTGAATAAGTAATTATCGGTAATTGTAACGATTTTGTTTCGCTGTTTGATCTTCCTTAGACTCAAAAATTAGAGTGCGCACACCTTTGACTTAACTATCTCCCAATTGTTTTATCACGCTTAGATTCCTATGAGCTTATATGAAAGTGCTACTCAACTTTTAGTTGTGCAACTACATAGTTGAATTGGCTGCGAAACAATAGACAATCGTACAACAGTCGTACGATAGTTTACTTAAAGGTGTCCACCCGCTGTAATAGTGACGTTAGATCTGTCAGGTTAAGTATGTTACATGATCTAAGAAGGCTATCCCAAAATAAAATGTTAATTACCGATTCTCGTATTTTACACTATAATTCTCTAAAAGTAAATAACAGGATCTCAACCGATTTTCTTGACTGACGAGAATTCCAATTATGAAATTAGAGACCGTAGGGTTTTATAGTTTTTCAAAACTTGTTTCAATTGTTTGGAATTACATTTCTGATTTCGAATACTTATTAAGATATATAAATTATACTTGCTTGTTCTAGCTCTTATTTTTGAAAGCTTGTCTTAAATACTTTGTCTATGAAAACTGATAAACTTGCGCTTGGTCACTATCAACTAACCAGCAGCCGGTTCTAACACATGTCACCTAATTAGTCCATTTTTATTATCAACTTTACTTGGGCGACAAGTTTGTGAAAATTGCAGACAAGTATCGCTAGGTAAAACGTAGAAAATCAAACATAATTTGTGAAGTATTTCTGCGTGTGTTACCATACCACAATCATCGTTACAAAAAGTAAATTAATTAATTAATTGATAACTTTGAATCAATTTATTTTAGAAATGCTGAAAAGCAATAAAGAAATTAGATCTGACCAGAGACCAAAGAACTATTGTAATAAATTAGTGGCAGACACCGTTGGTTAATCCTCCTAATTTAATTATATTGTAAAATAGCTGTTCTGGTGCGGCTTCATCCGCATGAAATTATGTAAATTTTATTTTATTATTTACATCTGTCAAATTATCAATTACAAATGTGACATGACATGATCACAACCTTGCTTCCTTGATGTTGGCAGCAACTTATGGTCTCCTTCCCACATTAGGGTTTTTATCCAAAATATTTACCCCCCAAGTTTAATGGCGTTAAAATATATAGCCTAAAGCGTAAGGCAAGTGTACTGTTTTTTATTAAAAAAGGGTTATTCGAAAATATGCTGTAATTGCCGACATCTGAGGCAACAAAGAAGTGTGTGATTACGCTTTGTTATAATAGTATAGATAATGAAGGTAAAATCAATTGAAACAAATTTTATCTTTTAGGCTTTTATTTGAAAATCATTAAATATAAATTATAAAAGCTTTAATTCTTAAACAATACTAGATATAAAAAAATTAGAAACCTTAAAGCACAGTCATATATATGAGCACCTTTTTTTTCTTCGCCGCATTCACAGTTATGAGATCTATTATATTTAAACGGTAATTATATGAGTAAATAATTCAGTTCTCTTAATGGATGCGATTTCCACAATCAACATTATGTGACCAATCGCATTGGTTTGTTGTAGGGTCATAAAGTAGATTTGCAGGACAAGTTAGAACTACGGGTTTCTTTTGTATACAAACATAAAATTGATGGCACCTTTGGTGTGCAATGTAGACTGAATCAGATGAATCTGAAGCACAAATTTCAATAACTTCAATTGGAATATTTTCACCATCATTATTGTTGTCGTTGTCCTCAATAGGGTTGTATCTATCGCCGCAAGCAACATTATTTGGCCAATCACATTGTTCAGATTGAGGGTTATACAAAAGGTTAGATGGACAAGATTGTGTCGTAGGAAGGCCGTTAAAACATTTATAGAATTGATTGCATATTTCGTGAGCAACCAATATACCGTTAGAATTATCTTTAGCGCAAATAGAAGAAGCTTCTCCGGGATTGCAATTGCAAGTGCTATTACTTCCACCACCTCCGGTTTCAGGAGCACCACCGTTACCACCTTCTTCAGTATCACAGTCTTCCGGGATTACTCTGTCTCCGCATTTGACTGTTTCTGGCCACTCACAACGTTCTAAATACGGATTGTAAAGCAAAGTACCGGGGCAACTCATGGCTACTGGTGCTCCGTTGTAACATTTGTAAAACTGATTGCAATTTTCATGAGCTACTAATACGCCGTTCGATCCTGCTCCGCCGCAGATAGAAGGTGCTTCTCCGGGAATGCAGTTACAATTACCACCGTTTCCACCTCCGCCTCCACCTCCACCTCCACCACCGGCGCCTCCGTCACCATTTCCATTGCCGTTATCATTGCCATTGCCGTTGTCGTTTCCATTTCCACCTCCTTCAGTATCACAGTCTTCCGGGATTACTCTGTCTCCGCATTTGACTGTTTCTGGCCACTCACATCGTTCCAGATAGGGGTTGTATAGCAGAGTACCGGGACAGCTCATGGCAACTGGTGCTCCGTTGTAACATTTGTAAAACTGATTGCAATTTTCATGAGCTACTAATAGGCCATTCGATCCTGCTCCGCTGCAGATAGACGGTGCCTCACCAGGGTTGCAATTGCAAGTGCCGTTGTTACCACCTCCCCCTCCACCACCGGCGCCTCCGTCGCCATTGCCATTACCATTATCATTTCCATTGCCGTTGTCGTTTCCATTTCCACCTCCTTCAGTATCGCAGTCTTCCGGGATTACTCTATCACCACAGGTGACTGTTTCTGGCCACTCACATCGTTCCAGATAGGGGTTGTAAAGCAGAGTACCGGGACAGCTCATGGCAACTGGTGCTCCGTTGAAACACTTGTAAAACTGATTGCAATTTTCATGAGCTACTAACACGCCATTCGATCCTGCTCCACTGCAGATAGAAGGTGCTTCTCCGGGAATGCAGTTACAATTACCACCGTTTACATCTCCGTCTCCACCTCCACCTCCACCACCGGCGCCTCCGTCACCATTTCCGTTGCCATTATCATTGCCATTGCCGTTTCCATTTCCGCCTCCTTCAGTATCGCAGTCTTCCGGGATTACTCTATCACCACAGGTGACTGTTTCTGGCCACTCACATCGTTCTAAATAGGGGTTGTAAAGCAGAGTTCCGGGACAGCTCATGGCAACTGGTGCTCCGTTGAAACACTTGTAAAATTGATTGCAATTTTCATGAGCTACTAATACGCCGTTCGATCCTGCTCCGCCGCAGATAGAAGGTGCTTCTCCTGGAGTACAATTACAGTTTCCATTGTTTTCACCTCCTTCTCCACCTCCACCACCGGCGCCTTCATCACCATTGCCATTACCGTTGCCGTCTCCACTGCCACCTCCTCCAGACTCACAATCTTCTGGAATTACTCTGTCGCCACAGTCGACTGCGTTAGGCCAATCGCATTGTTCTGAGTGGGGATTGAAAAGAAGATTGCCAGGGCAGCTCATTCCTACTGGTGCTCCGTTGTAACACTTGTAAAACTGATTACAATTCTCATGGGCTATTAAAACTCCATTCGATCCTGGTCTGCCACAGATAGAAGGTGCTTCTCCTGGGCTACAGTTGCAGTTGCCATCGTTCCCACCTCCTCCAGCACCATCTCCACTGCCGTCTTCAGCACAACCGTCTTCGTTTTTATCATCCTCATCACCTGTTCCGTTGCTCTCTGGGATTAGCCTATCACCGCAATTTACATTTTTCGGCCAATCGCATTGTTCTCTGTATGGATTGTACAGTAATCCATGAGGACAATTCTGTGCAACAGGAACACCATTAAAACATTTGTAAAATTGGTTACAATTTTCATGCGCTACAAGTAATCCATTAGAATCTTTAGCTGAGCATATATTTGGTGCTTCGCTTGGACTGCATTTGCAATTACTGTTATTTTCGTCGCCTTCATTTTCGTTGTTTTTGTCTTCATCTGGTATTACTCTATGGCCACATACAACGTTTTGTGGCCAATCACACTGGTCAGTGTTTATGTTGAAGAGTAAATCATTAGGGCAGGTGTGCTCCACTAACTCTCCTCTGACGCATTGATAGAATTTATTGCAGTTGTTATGCTCTAGTAACTTATCTTCGGTGTGGTCCAAAGGGCATCCATTTTTGTTTATCTTCACTACATTCCCATGGACAAGTGTTATTGCGCAGATCAAAGTGATTCCTGCGCCTGAAAAAAAAAGTGAATATAAAAAATGTTAAAAAAAAATATCGCCCTAAATTAATTTTAAATTTAACAATATCTATCTGTAATTATTACAGAAAACAAGATACCAGTATTTATTTTTAAATTAAAAAATTCTAGCAACGTATCCAAAAACAAAAAAAAATAATTTAATTTTTAAAACTTCCGAAAAACGGAAATTAATATTTCCTTATTTTAATGTTTTAATTTACCTCTCATTATAATCCTTGCGATATAAAAAAATGTTATTATCCCCGTTACACACAGAAACTTATGATGTCTTCTTTAAAACTGCAAATATTTTCAATATCCTCACAATTATATACATTAGCCGAAGTTTATCGCGTATTACTTAGAACGAATGATTTGAAGTGCAAGCAGTTAGTGATATTCGATAATCATTACAATAATCGCTACTAAAATCACTGATTTTATAGATAACTGATACTTTAGATAATTCTAGGAGGTAACAACACTATTGAATCACTCTGTATTGTATAACACTATTAATTAAAAAAAATAAAACTGTATAAGTAACGTAAAAACTTTTTAGTAAAAAAACAAAACCGACTTCCAAACAATATACACTAAACACAAAATATTCTCAAAAAAACTATACACTAAAAAGTAACGAAATAATTCCTTGAAAATAGTAAACCTTATTGTAGCTGTTATGTCTATATTGTACAATTATTATTACTTTGATGTCGGTGAAGGCAAAAAAGAATTATCAAAATCGGTCCACTAGCGACGGAGTTAGGCCGTAACACGCATAAAAAGAACACAGACGAATTGAGTACCTCCTTCTTTTAGAAGTCGGTTATAAAGAATATGTTTTAACAACAACCAAATGATTAATGATCACGGAACAATAAATCCTCGTCTATTTTTTAGAAAGGATTAAATAACGGATTATTACGATAACGATATCTTTTTATATATAATTTTCTGTACTTGAGATCTACAATTCTTTCATACATCATTTTATATGCATCAACGGTTTGGGCAGCGTAAGCCGTGAAAAGTTGAGGTTTAGTGAATTTTTAAAGGAGAAATACGCTGTTTACTAATAGTTCCTAACATTAGAAATAATCTAATCTTACGTTACTTACAGATAAATTACCTTTCTAATATTGAAAGAATTTTTAAAATCGGCCCAGCAGTTTTGCGTGAATCAAATACACATAAGAAACAGAAATACAATTCTTTCCTTTTTGTAATGTAATACGAATAGATACAGATTGAAGAAATATGTTTTATTAGTAATTTAAATAATCAAATAAAGAAAATGTGTTTGATTTCAGACTTTTAATAACACAAAAAAATAAAAAAACTCTACGAAAAAAGTCGATTGTTATAAGATATCTATACTAATATAATAAAGCGTAAAAACACACTACTTTATGGCGTAGTTTGTCAGCAATCACAGCATATTTTTGAATAATCTTTGTTTTAATCAAAAGCCCTACACTTAGGACACGCTATAGGCTATACATTTTCACGCTATTAAACTTCGGGGGTAAATAAATTAGAAAAAAACCTTCATGTGGGAAAGGGACCATAAACTACAAGCAGTCAACATTAAGAAATGAAGGTTATTATAGTGACGGTAATTTTGACATTTTCAACTGACAATTTGACAAATGTAAACAATAAAATAAAGTTTTCATTATTTCATGCGGATGAAGCCGCACGGGCACAGCTAATGTTGCAATAAAATTAATAAATATACAATAAAATAAATCACCCTGTATAAATTGTCGGTGTTAGCTCAAATATATCTGTCGGTAGATTTAAACGATTCAATAAAAGATTTGAAAGATATAATTCGATCGATAAAATTAACAGAAAATCTTATCGTCTATTGAATGTTTCTGATGGCATACGTATAATTGTTATGTATTCAAATGTACTAATTGACATTTTTTCTTAAAGATAAGTACTGAGTAATTTTGTTGCCAACCTATTAAGCAAATAATGGTCTATCCCAAATGTTGGCCAATTGGTGAGACAATTCGTAACGACATCCACAAGTATGAGATTTGTTGGTGTACTTTACACCCGGTAGAGTACAAAAATATCCATACGAAAACGTTGTCATGAATATTGGTAATAAGCCCTACGATGTACCGATAAAAATGTACCGAATAAATCAGAGTTGAACGATAAAATATTTTTAGGCAGTTTTAAAAGTAAATTAAAAATATCTCTATATTCAAGGACTTCGCCTGCGAAAATTAAAAAAATAATAAAAAATATAGCTTATGTTACTCACAGATAAATTACCTTTGTAATGGTGAAAGAATTTTTGAAATCAGCCCAGTAGATTTTACCTGAATCAAATACATACAAAAATCCAAATCTTTTCTCTTTATAATATTAGTTCAATAGATGTTTCGTTGCAATAAAAAATTGTCTTTAAAATTACCGCATTTATTTGTATAGAAATATTGAAGACTAGCTGTTCCCGTGCGATTTCATCCGCATAAAATTATGAAAATTTTATTTTATTGTTTACATATGTCAAATTATCAATTGCAAATGTCAAAATGACATGACGAGGACAAACCATGGCAACCTTGCTACCTTAATGTTGGCAGTAACTTATGGTCTCTTTCCCACATTAGGATTATATTCAAAATATTTACCCCGTAAGTTTGATGGCGTGAAAAAATATAGCCTAAAGCGTGACGTAAGTGTAGTGCAAAAATATGCTGTAATTGCCGACATCTTAGGCAACAAAGAAGTGTCTGTTTACGCTTTATTGACCGACTTCTTTTAATAGTATAGATTAACATTATGTGTAAATTACTAAATTTTTAATACTATTAATAATTGGTTTAACAACGAGTATAAAATCCCTGATAAAATTTACAAGTGTACGTAATAAACAAATATAGATTACGAGCAATTCCGATCTTTTATCTAATTACGTATTCCTTTAAGGTAAATGATAATATATGTAACGACGCATAAACCTTTTATATTGTAAACAACGAAAATCCTATTCATAATTTAACAATGGTAGAGCCCGCTTTAATATCTTCGCATTGTAGGGCTCGCCCGGTGTAATACCACGACCACACAGAAGATAGGCGTGAAATGGAAGCAATTCCGTGTTTCGGCTGATGAGTGTGGTGCCGGAGGCCTAATTTAAGTCCCTTTCTCTTTACCATCCTTTTCTTCTAAGGAGAGGTTGGGAAGGGTAAGTCGATTTGACGGTGGAGATGCATAGGAAGGGGAAATATCCTCTTTATGTGCGTCTCCTCCGCTGTCGTATAAGGGTAGACAACGCATCTGCAATTGCGGATGTCCATAGGCAGCGGTCGCTTCGCCATTTTGGCGGATTCTAGTGGCCGCTTGCTCATTTGCCACATATTTGTAGCTGTTTGTTTACAAAAAAATGTTAATTTGAATGTTTTCATATTTTCCTATTGTTTTAGATTATAGTGTACTAGCTGTTCCCGTGCGGCTTCATCCGCATGAAATTATGAAAATTTTATTTTATTGTTTGCATGTGTCAAATAATCAATTGCAAATATCAAAATGACATGACATGATGTCAAACCATGGCAACCTTGATTCCTTGATTGCCAGCAACTTATGGTCTCTTTCCCACATTAGGGTTTTTATCCAAAATATTTACCCTCTAAGTTTAATGGCGTGAAAATATATAGTCTAAAGCGTAGGCCAAGTGTAGGGCTTTTTATTAAAGAAAGAATTATTCAAAAATATGCTGTAATTGCTGACATCTTAGACAACAAAGAAGTGTGTTTACGCTTTATTATAATAGTATACATTTATTGGTGTTTATCAACGACGTGAGGTATGACAGATAACTATTTCTATCGAAAAAAAAAATAGATTTTATCATTATTTACATCATTAATTACTCAACGTTATGAAATATAAAAACAACCATCATCAACGAAATTAAATCACTTTTAAATACAACTAGCTTTCGCAGACGATTCCGTCCGCGCGACATAAAAAACCTAATTATTAGCCTGTGTGAACACACATGGAAGAACTTCAAGACTATCCTATACATCTATGCCAATTTTTTTCCGTATAACCGTTTAGGCTATAAACTCTAACAAACATTCCTCCATCTTTAGCATTTACAATATTAGGAAGATTATTTCTATTACTATTATTTAAAAAACAGCTGAAACAATATAAAGAATTGTATTGATTTATTCATATAATCCTTTTAAATAAAGTAACTATACTTTTGTAAAAATCTGTCAACAGTTGAAAACTAATAAAACTCAAAAACTAAGAAAACTCAAAAACTAATAAAACTCAAAAACTAAGAAAACTCAACTGGGCGCAAACCCTTGACTAAACTAACGCAAAACTGTTGCGCGATTGTCGATTGTTTCGCAGCCAACTGTTTATTTGTACTAAAAATCGAATAGTGTACGCACCTCCATGTAAGCTCTTAGAAATCAAAGCGAGACTAAACAGTTTTGCGAGGTTACAAGGAGGTGCAATGCTTTCGTTTTGACCGACTTCCCAAAAGAAGAAGGCACTCAATTTGTCTGTATGTTTTTTTTTTAATTTGTTTATTTAGAATTTCGTATTTTGGCGTTATTTTTAAAATTAGGCGAGTCGTAGAAAAAGAAGGAATAGCGAAACGACGGTGTAAGACGATGAGTTTTTTGGAAGAGTTTTTAAATATTGTAAATAGCAGTAAACGAGTTCTTTTTATTTCAACAAGTCGCCACTACATTAATATATCAGGTTTGGTATTAATCTGTTAGCTCAGGTATAATATCAGTTCCTTGTTTATTACGAACAAAACAATTAAATGCAGATAAGGATTCACATTGATTATAAAAACATATTTAAAAGTGCTATTTCCTAAAAACTGTTGATAACTTAAAAATTTTCCGTGAGTGATTCATTTTTATACAACCTTTCTCATCTTAACAGTGGTAGAGCCCGCTTTAACATCTTCGCACGAATGGGTCGGCTCGCCCGGTGTAATACCACGTCCACACAGAAAACAGGCGTGAAGTGGATGCGTTTCCGCGTTTCGCCTGATGAGTGTGGTGCCGGAGGCCTAACTTTAGTCCCTCTCCCTTTCCACCCTTTTCTCAAGAGGAAAGGATGGGAAAGAAAAGTGGATTTGATGGTGGAGGAGACGCATAGAAAGGGGAAATGTCTTCTTTATGTGCGTCTCCTCCTCTGTCAATTAAGGGTAGGCAACGCATTTGCAATTGCGGATGTCTATGGGCAGCGGTTGCTTTCCATTTCGGTGGATTCAGGGGGCCGCTTGCTCGTTTGCCCACTTATATTATAAAAAAAAAATTATATAATAGTAGAAAAATTGTTTTTAGAGCTTTTGCTGCTGACTGTACGAAAAAATAGCAAATTCCGTGTTATTTTTATAATACAAGGTATTACCAGGTACTACATTAGTCGAAATGGCAAAGCGACTGCTGTCCATAGCCATCTGCAATTGTATATACGTTGCCTAGTTTTAATTGACGGAGGAAAAGACACACATAAAGACGGTATTTCCCCTCCCTATGCGTCTCCTCCATCGTTTAATCCACTATCCCTTCCCAGCCTTTTCTTATAAGAAAAGATGGAAAGAAAAATTAACTAAAAGTTAGCCTCTAGCAACGTAAACTCATCAACCTACGGCTAGCTGGCCCTACAGTTCTGAAACTAAACTATCGCACAACTGTTTAGTCACGCTTTGATACCTATGAACTTATATGGAGGTGCGTACAACTCGATTTTTAGTTGTACAACTAAACAGTTGAATTGGCTGCGAAAAATCCGGCAATCGCACACACTTGTGCGCAAATTTAGTAAAAGATATGCGCTTTGAGTCGATTCCGCCGGAAATAAGTAAGCATTTGCAATAAAATGCATGATTGTAACGTAATCTTTTAATCTCGATAAAAAAAACAACTGATTTTTAACGAAATGATGATTGCATTGCATCGATATGTGAAATTCAAAAGAAATTCTTATCTTGCGACGAATCTTGTGACTAATAGTTTTAGTTAAATTATAAATATTAATAAGTTTCCTTATGTGCATACGTAAGCTACAAATATAAGAAATGAAATAACATGACAAGTGCTAAAAAAACTTCTTCATTTAAATCTTCGATTTTTACTGAAAAAAATAACCAAATAGCCGGGCAGTTAAATATATACACAATTAAATAACAAACCTAGTTATATCATTGATATATGTATCTATACTAATATTATAAAGAGGAAACATTTGTATTTCTGTATGCATTTTAAATAACAAAAATTCTTACCATTACAACTTACAACCAACGTTATCAGAGGTTAACATAGGCTATGTTTTTTATTCTTTTTTATCAATAAAATTATTACTAAAGTCCTATAAAAATAATCATCATGGGGCGCCACAATCTTCATTGGTATTGAAAGACTTTTCATCAAAACTCCTTTTTTGAACCGCCTGTAAAAAAAAACTGGTGTTAATCAATGCCTGTAAAAAATTGCTATAAATTTATCGAAGGCGCTTTATAAATTCTTTATATGTAAACAGAAGTATGTAGTTTAATCTTAGGTCAGAACAAGAAGTAGAAAAGCAACGGAATAACATATTTTGGAAATAGGAAGAGTTTGTTCTAACCCAACACAATACTGTAACATATTTACCATACATTTGTAGAAACAAAAAGGTCACAAAATGTTAGTTAACATGACTAAGCATTTATGATGTCTAATGACAACACAAAAATTAAAGCCACGCCTGGTTTATACGCTGAATATTGCAACCAAAGTAAATGAGAAAGTAAAATCTAAAGAGAATTTAATAAGTTTCATCAAGAATACTTAAGTCGCCGATTTTTTTACTTATAGATCCCTTATTTGTGATGAAATCAGCAAAAACAGTGAGTGATTTGAGTTTGAGTGATTTTTTGCTCTGCCAAAGAGGTTACATATTGGCCAATCAAATAAAAATTCCAGAATGCGGGAAGATTTATTTGGGCTGCTGATAACTATATCGCATTTAACTTTTTTTGGTCTGTCTGTCTGTGCGCAAGACGCGTTTGTTCCGGGTAATCTTCGAAACGGCTGGACCGATTTGACCGGACTCTTACTGAAGGGTAGCTGACATAGATGGGCATATTATAGGCTACTGTTGGCGTCGTTTCTGCCCCGCCCTAATAGATGGCGCTATGGCGAGATCGTCTAATCTTAAAGCACGATATTACTAACGTCTCGGCACAGGCCAGGTCTCTCGCTGGTCGCGGGCTCTTTGGTGTTTTGTTTGCTGTTCATTGCGTTTTCATTATGGTCGTTGTTTTGTAGTTTTCGGTTGTTCTTTCGTTGCATTGGTCGAGTCGTCCAAATTTCGGACACGGTTACGTAGGAAACAAAACAGCTACTTTTTTAAACTTAATATTGCGTGGAAAATGTCACGGGCACCAGCTACCAGCTAGGTTTGGTTGGTATAGAATTTAAAGACAAACGCATTTTTTTTTAAGTTTCAATTTAGAAACAATCAAAAATCAAATCCGCCATAGAAGATAACATGAATTAAAAAAGATAAACGAATCCATATAATAATTAAACAAATCTGTTCGGAACAATTAAAATGATTAGGTTTTTTATCAATGTTAATTATGATAAGAAGCGATCAATTAGGAAAAAATACTTATATATGTATTTCTTTCGTTATAAGACGTAAAGATGACAATAATGTAAATTCCCTAAATTAAATTATTTTCTAAAAGTTGGCAGCATTACTTCGAGAGGTTAGGAAAATATATTTAGGCGGGCTTTTTCCGTTTATTATTAAGTGAATACAATTTTTGTTATTAATGTAAAAGAAATTCGCAAAATACTTAAGAATTTTTAGATTTTCATTATTTCAATTCTTAAGAATACTCGATACCTCTCAATCCGTATACGTTTTATGATAAACTAGCTGTTCCTGTGCGGCTTCATCCGCATGAATTATAAAAAAATTATTCTATTTTTACATTTACCAAATGAACTATAGCAAATGCCAAAATCACATGACATGACAAACCTTAGCAATCTATCTATCTTGATGTTAGCAGCAACTTATAGTCTCTTTCCCACATTAGTAGTTTTATCCAAAATATTTACCCCCTTAGTTTAATGGCGTTAAAATGTATAGCCTTAAGCATGACGTAAGTGTACGGCTTTTTATTAAGAAAAGGATTATTCAAAAATATGCTGTAATTGCTGACATCTTAGGCATCAAAGAAGTGTGTGTTTACGCTTTATTATAATAGTATAGAAGTATAGATATAGATATAATTTTGATATCTATATTAAAGACTCTGTAAAACAAGACTTTATCGTGTCTAAAACATGAACAATAGAATGCGTAAGTGATAATTACAATCAGTTTGATCGAAATTTAATCTTTGATTTCATTTTATTTTTGTATTTTATGCAATTCTATGTTGATAATAGTCACTACAAAAATGTATTGTTTTTCAAATTTTTATGTCTTTGCTATTATATTTATTTGTTCTTTCTTAAGGAGGTAAGGATGTATTTAGTAAATAACAGACAAAATTCTTGTAACTTATTTTAATAATGACATCTGATTTTACGCTTGATTATATGAAACTAACAATAACTAGTTATGTTGTAAAAATAAGACATCTGTATTTAGTTAAATATATTTTTTTATTTTATACTATAAATTAAATTTCATGTTATAATAATAACTTAAAACTAACTTAAATTAATAAAAAATTAGACGGAAGCTCAGAGTCTATAAGTGTTCGGTACAACCTTTGTATTTTTGGTTTGTAATTTATTTTATTCTTATTTATAAATAATAAGTTATATTTATAAACATAAAAACATCTTTGGAAATAAGAAAAGTTAAAGTTTTTACAAAAATAGTTTCTTACAATCACATCTTTTAAAAGGTACGTTTAGTTACCGTTAATTTACCAAACAGTAGGAATATTAGTATAATTAAAACACTCTATCACCACAGATGACATCTTCTGGGAAGCCGCATCTTTCTACATAAGGATCGTATAACAGATCAGCGGGACAATACATTTCAATTGGAACATTGTTAGAACATAGATAGAATTTATGGCAGTTTTCATGGGCAATTAAAATTCCGTTAGAGCCCTCGGCCCTGCAAATAGATGGCGCTTCACGTGGAGAACAGTGACAGCCGCCGCCTCCGTTGTTGTCCTGTTCTGGTATTACTCTGTCTTTACAATCCACTTGACTTGAATACCAACATTGCTCTCTGTATGGATCATAAAACAGATTTCCTGGACAAGACAACGCTACTGGTACTCCGTGAGCGCATTTGTAAAATTGGTTACAGTTTTCGTGTGCTATTAAAATACCGTCAGAATCTTTTGCAGCACATATCGATGGTGCTTCAGCTGGATTGCAGTTACAGGTCCCATTACCTCCCCCTCCACCGCCACCTCCTCCGCCTCCATCTCCG